TGTGAATAACTGAAATGGGAAAATATAAAGAAAGCACTAGAAGTATTTTTAATTTTCTTTATTGCAGTGTTTTGTTCCATTTGAAAAATTAATCATATTGTCTTTTGTTCTTCCTCTCTCCCCCATGTATGCTGCATAGTCTCCATCTTCCCTGGCAGCTCCAGTCCCACCAGTGGTTCTGGTTGTCAGAGTGGGTCATACTACTTCCCCTCCTTTTGGAGGATAGTAGACTCTAATCATGGTTTTGCTGGTTCCTCCCCCTTGTCTCCATCTGCCTCTTTGGGGTGAGTACCTTGGTTGGCTATAGAAGCAGCTGAAAACACAGGTGCAGCAAGAATAAGACCAATGTGACCTGCCAGTTTTCGAAGCACTACAGTTTGAGAATTGCTGATGTGCGCAAGCTCCGCCTCTCTCAGCCCCAGTGAGGATCATTGGGATGTGGGGGTGTTTGAAAAGGAGGAGGGGGTAGAAAGCCCTCCAAAAAACTAACTAAAAATAAACCACAACCCTCTCTATGAAAAATAAAGTTCAGAAAACATTGGTTTGAAAGTGAAATTTAATGTCTGGGTAATTTAATTCTATAGTTTGGGCAGACAGCTGGGATTTCACAGATGCTAAACCATTTTACAGTGAGATATTCTGCTCATGGCAAGAGAGTTAATTCAAATGTTTTCTTAACCATGTCCTGAATTAACATTGAAGACATTTGCCATCTCTTACCCAAGATTTTCAAATCTCAGAGGTTTGATTTGTTAAAAGGCCATGATCAGTGTTATTAGGCCCAACATTTGTCTATTTTATCTACTTTTATATGCATGGACTTCGCAAACAATTCTTCTATGTGTTATACCCACCACCACAAAACTCAGCCCACTCCTAACAGGTTACAATGTTGCCCCCGCCCCCATTGTAAAACAAAATAGCAGCAGCCCAGGCCCCTCCATGTGCAACCTTCTGTAAACAGATAACTAGTTCTTCCCATGTAAACACAAATATTTAGTGAATGAAAGAGATTTAAGTCTTAAAGCTGTAAAAGGTTATAAAAACTGAGTAAAATGAGATTTTAAAAGTTATTCAAAAATATATTAATTTGACTGCACTCATTTAAACAGTTCTTGTTAGGTGTAGATATTTTATTGTAAATGTAGTCAAACTACAAAATTTCAAGTTGAACACATTATAAAGCCTGCAATCCAGCTCAGTTTAAAAGGCGAGCACAAATGTGCATTACTTCAATCTCTCTTCTTTACACTCTTTAATCCACAGGGATATACCAGCCCTTAATTCTTTTAAGATTAGGTCACTGACAAATGTTACGCTTTAGGCTTGAAAAACGACACAACCAGCCATGCTGAAATAATTAGTTACTTGCCTATAAGCTTTAAATTTTAGCGAAAAGGTTTGTGCAAAGTTTCTTTCCATATAATGTACCTTCTTCTCCAACTCCACAATTATAACCAATACCGGAATATATATTTATACAATTGAACAGCAGCAATGAAAGCTAGCTTGATTATACTAAATTTAATTAAACTTAGGAAAACTTGCATTTAAAAATACTTTTGTCAAAACACACAAATATTCTAAAACTGGATGATTTCCAAAGTAGTTTATGTATGAAGAAACATCTCTGGTAAAGGAAACTAATCAGTCTAATTTTTGAGGTTTAAAGTATGGTTAAGTGAGTATGTAAAAATGGCACTAACTCAACAGATCCATTCCTTTTGTGCATTCAATATTATCGGATTTATTTAGCAACAGAAATATGGTTTTACTGTTTTATACTCATTTTAACACGACAAAGCCCACAAACAGTAAATTGGACAACTGTCCTCCCCTTCAAGCGCCTTCACAAGCAAGGTCACAGGGATCAATCCCCACTCTTCAATAGCCGTGAGACCATTTGTAGGGGAGGTAGCAAAACACCAGTTCTCTTGCCAACAGCATAATTGAGGACATTCTGTTGTACACTTTTTTCTGTGAATGCAACCATCCAAGCCATGTCACAATACATACAGGAGACCAGCACCTAGATGTACAGCAGCTAGCTCAACCCAAGCAAAACCAAAATGACTCTGATCAGAAGGGGGGGGAGAGGTGAGGGGGTGTTGCACTTCAAATAATTATGAGAGCATACTTTCCTCATATATAAGGTATCTCCCCTCAATTCTCAGCATAGAACCCAGCCTCAGAGTCCTGGTCACCTCATGAAACCTAAATGACAAGCTGAAGATTATCAAAGACATTTGGCTAGGGGAATGAGCTCTCGGAATAAGCTAGAGAAATTCAGAGTCTGACCACCTATTAGCAGTGCTGCAAAATCTCCTCTGAGAAAACTTGCTCACTATAAAAGGAATGAAACTTGGAGGAAAAATGTCCTGAACATTTTCATATAATGATGGATAGAGAACCCCAACACCAATAGTTAATAGTAGCAGATGCTACATAAAGTTTTAATTGCAGGGTCAAATTCTGTCTGTATTTGCAGCAATGCAACCCTATTGCTGGCATAGGGATTATATAGGTGTAGCAGTTTACTCTGAAACTTATCCTAAAGAATTATTATTACTGGTGATGAGGTGCAATGAGGAAAAAATGCAGCTTGCCTCAAGATCCCTCATGTAGCCATTAGAAAAAACATCTTTTTACTTTTAAAATTGAGCAAATTTGACTTGAAAATCAATGCATCACAATATACGTAAATTCACGTCGTCCATTTCAGCCAGTAAGTTCTCTTGGGCAGCATTCAACTGCCTGATCCACCAGACCATCTTTTCTCTTCCTGCAGATCCCTCCCTTGTTATCCTACAGACAACAGTCTCCTTCACTACACAAACCTGATTCATTCCCTGAACAGCATCCATCCTGTGCACTAAGACTATATCATACAAACACATAAAGAGGAAAAATCAAGGTTGCACAGGCTAACCTTAATTTTGGTATTTCTTAGACGTGCAGTGGTTGAATTTGAACCTTAACATTAAAATAATGCAGGAGGGTTTTGGTATGTGATTTTGTAAGCTTAAAAAACCAGAAAACAAATTCATTAGGTGGAATTATACTGGCTGTCACTTGGGTCATCAGCAAGTTTGGGCCCACAGACTTCTACCAGTTGAGCTAACACAATTAAGTAGAAAGCTGGTGAAAAACTTATTTTATGCAAGAAAATTTGAAAAAAAAATTCCTCTTGGAAATTGATCACAAAATTGATGAAAAACAATATCAATTTGGGTTTTGAAAATCATTTTTTATTTTAAAAAGTTTATTTTCAAAAACTCAAAACATTTTCACTAAAAATGAATATTTTTACTGCCAAAATTTTGGTTCCTGGTTTTTCATTTAGATGAAACAAATTTTCCACCAAAATGTTTGTTTTGGTTGAAAAACTAATGACATTTATTTTGACAAATATTTTGAACAGCTCTACTAATTGGGAGTATCAATGGGCTGTTATCCTTTTATATTGATCTGCTGTGGAGTGGGGGACTACCCATACACTCTGCCAGTGCATAACTCTTTGCTAGACAGTACAGTACTATTGGGACTGAGAAATCCTCGGTTCTGTTCTGGAGAGGGAATGTTCTGCCCTGGTTTCCACACTCCTTCCACTTCACCAGAAACTTCCTCCTTGCCTTCTACATCTGGGCTCCAACAAAGGCTAGCCCTGAGAGCACAAGAAAGATGGTCTCCTTGTTGTCAGTTTTGATACCCAGTGACAGTGGCCCCCCGGCAACTGGGAGGAGCAATGGCAAGGAAAGTCCTTTTTAGCTGTGCAAAAGATCACCCGCAATCCAGATGGAATCCCCTAAAAATCTAGCTGCCAGACTCTAACAAGCCTCTACTGAGCATGGACACATGGTAATTCCCCCTTCCTCCCAGAGTATTAGAGCTGAGCCAAACTGAATGGCTTTTCACAGGGACAAGAAAAGCCACCCCTCTGCCCCTAGGGTGAAGCCATCTGCTACCTTGCAAGTGCCTGCTCTAAAGCATGGAGATGCTTGTCAAATAATTGTAAGAACCACTAACCCAGGAACCTATCCTTGCAACAAAGCCCATTGCCAACTGTGTCCACATATCTATTCAGGGGACACCATCATAGGACCTAATCACATCAGCCACACTATCAGAGGCTCGTTCACCTGCACATCTACCAATGTGATATATGCCATCATGTGCCAGCAATGCCCCTCTGCCATGTACATTGGTCAAACTGGACAGTCTCTACGTAAAAGAATAAATGGACACAAATCAGATGTCAAGAATTATAACATTCATAAACCAGTCGGAGAACACTTCAATCTCTCTGGTCACTCGATTACAGACCTAAAAGTCGCAATATTACAACAAAAAGATTTCAAAAACAGACTCCAACGAGAGACTGCTGAATTGGAATTAATTTGCAAACTGGATACAATTAACTTAGGCTTGAATAGAGACTGGGAGTGGATGGGTCATTACACAAAGTAAAACTATTTCCCCATGTTTATTCCCCCTCCCCCCGCCCCCCCCACTGTTCCTCAGACATTCTTGTCAACTGCTGGAAATGGCCCACCTTGATTATCACAATAAAAGGTTTTCTCCTCCCCACGGCTCTCCTGCTGGTATTAGCTCATCTTAAGTGATCACTCTCCTTACAGTGTGTATGATAACACCGATTGTTTCATGTTCTCTGTGTATATAAATCTCCCCACTGTATTTTCCACTGAATGAATCCGATAAAGTGAGCTGTAGCTCACGAAAGCTTATGCTCAAATAAATTTGTTAATCTCTAAGGTGCCATAAGTACTCCTTTTCTTATTAAGATAAAGTATATCATCCACACAGTTTGCATGCATTTAAGTGGAGTATGCCTCAGATTTTATTATTGTCTGCAAAACAGTATGTATAAAAGATTTAACTCACTCTCCTTTTTGACCTTTTCTTATTTTTGTAAAAAGTAAAATGGAATATATGTAGAATTAGTTGCATATTGAACACCATTGAAAATTCATTCCACTCACCTTACACTGGCTACATGTTGTTGAACAGACTGATGTTGAAAATGGTCAGGCCACTGATGATGAAGGCAGAATGATGGGGAGTGTTGAAGGCAGCAGGTGGTCTGATACATAGGTGTATGTTTTTGGCAGACAGATGTTGAATATTCAGTATGTGCCTGCAGGCAGCAGGAAGTCATAGGAGATGGTGCTGTGCTCCCAGCCAGTGAATGACATTCTTGCTGTTTATTATGGTTACTTAAAGGATGATGGTATGGGCAAGGGTGGCAGCATTGTGTTAACATCTGTTGAGTTCTTTGGTTGTCTACAGGCAGAAAGGATGGTTTGATTGTACCATTAAGTTGCAGGCATCCATTTGGACTCACTTTTGCTCTTGGTGCTTCCTTGGAGGGGAGGTGTTGGGCTGCAATGCCTCCATCAGTAGCTGAAAGGATGCTGGGACCGGTAGCACTGGAGAGGATGCTGCCATTACTCAGGACCACAAAATCATTATTGCCATTGTTCATAGCCATACTCCGACTGCTAGATGGGTCTGCAGTATTTCTAGAGAAAATTAAATAAACCAAATTTAGCAGGTGGCATAATTTTTTCCAGTGTTCAAAAATTCAAAACAGTTTATATAGAAAACGGTAAGACCCTAGTCCTGAAACTAGATCCCCATATAGGCCCCAGTCCATACAACTAGATCCAAGAGTAGGTGAACTCTTGCCTACATTAAACAGCATGGGCATTCTGCAGGCATAAGGGTCTGCCAGTGGATCTAACTGTATTGTTGAGGCCTAAAGCCCCGATTTAGCAAAGTTCTTCAGTACATGTTTTTGTTTCTCCATGCAGAGTACATCATTGTTGTACATTTCTTCAATGGAAAAATAAGCTTCTCTCCAAGAATCAAGGACAACCACGCTGAAAAGGAGATCTTATATGTTAAACTGATTATTACATCAGTGGAAATGATTAAGTTGGGCAACAGAATAAATGAGACAAAAAGTTAAAGCCTGATAAGAAGATCACAATAAATACCACATAAGAGATGGGTTGTTTTTTTTTTGTGGTAATGATTAAAAAAATGCATCAGATTTTAAAAAGCTAAACTGTGACATAATAATCACCTTTGGGGATCATAGTCAACACGATAGTTGATTTTATCCAATTTCCACTCTTCACTAAATAAGAAAACAACTGTCTTCAAAGTAGTATGTAGCAACCACAGGCACAAAGCCTCAGGCAATTCAGCAGGAAACAGCTCAAACCATCAGCCTCTTAGCTGGGAGCCCCTAGGTTAAAATTTTCAAAAGCAAAAGGTGAAGACTGAATGCTTTTTGCAAGTGGGCTCTTAGGGATGTCCTAGTCTCTACGGCCAGCTGGCTTCCTGGAAGGCCACAGCCTGTGGATCTTTGCAGTCTTCTTACTACCAGCCCCAACATGCCCTCCAAATATCCCTGCAGATGAGCGCACAGATAGTCCTTCAAGAGCTGGACTCTGGGCTCCCCAAATCCTGCCTCCCATTCAGGGAGCTACATTGCATACAGAAAAGAGGCAGAGAGCAGCATGAGCTCTCTCCAAAAAAAGGGCATCAATAGGGAGGGAATGGAAGTGAGCCATAGGCAGCTGTGTGGCTGTTTCAAAGGCCTTTTACTTGTTCAACCAAAACCCAAAGTTAAAAGTGACACCAGACCAAAATGTATAATTCAAATGAACACACACTGTTGGCTGCCTCTGGTTTACAGACAGCTTGTGGTTGAGAAGCAGTGGTGCACCCTTGAGCTGGCTGGAAACAGTTCACTTCCATCAGTATAAAGACTAACTGAAAGAGTACTATTTATAAAAACAGACTTCAATGTAAACTAAAAGTAACCATCAAAACCGACCACTGCAGTTTGCTGACACCTTTTAACAGTTAGTGAGAGAGACAGGGCTGCATGGCAGCCAGCATTTAGCAGTAATCAACGTGGTGGTTACAGTTTTTGCCCTCCCCTCACATCAACCACTAGCCATTGAAAACCAAGCTTATAAATATTTTGAAGAGATTCTTTTTAAAGGCTATTTAAAGAAATCAAAACACTTTAGTTTTCCACCTAGAAGTCTCTGTAGATGTTTGAGATAATGTATAATAGCAGCACAAACCCTACAGTTAAACTAGGAATACCTAACACAACCAACATGCTTTCCAAAACTTCAATTAAAAAAATTAAAATATGACAAAATCCCAGGCTTAAGCTATTTTCCACTGAGCTCATTGAGGAACTCACCCTTCTTAGTAGCAGCAATCCTGAAGACAATTAGGATGTGCACTGTGCTGTAAGCATTAGCTTAAACAGTGAAGAAAGGTATTAAAGAAAAAAGTTTTTCTTAAAGATGATTTTGTTCTGTACACACACAGTAAATAGGTCATAGTTACATACATTGGAGCGGCAACTGAGAGAGGGTGGCTGAAAGCCAATGAGAGTCTAAGGTGCCAGCAACAGCTAATCTGCCTCTCTTTTTAACTATAATTTTGTTTTAAGATTTGAAAGAAGGAATAAGAAGATTATTTGGATAATTTTAAAAAACAAAACAAAACAAAAAAATATAGGAATTTGTTTCACAAGTTACCTTTGGAGATTTTTTTTTTTGATAGAAGAGTGAGAATAAGATACTGTTAAAAATAATTTCCTCATACTTTTAAAAATAAGATAAATCAGGTCATTAAAACCACTTTAGCTATCTTAATTGATTAAATGCAACATTAAAATCTAGGATTAATAGTCTGACAGGTGTTAAGTGTGAGTAGTAATTTACTGGTCTGAGGCCATGTCTACACTCCCACTTATGTCGGCAAAATTTATGTCACTCAGGGGTGTGAAAAACACACCTTCCCGAGTGACGTAAGTTTCACCGGCGTAAGTGATAGAGTGAATAGCACCATGTCAGCATGAGAGCTTCTCCCACCAACACAGCTACCACTGCTTGTTGGGGATGGTTTAATTATGTTGACAGGCATGGGGGGCAGGTTGACAGGCCGTTGGAGGAGGCTAGCCCCCTTCCCCTCCCCTTCTGCCCGAAGTCCCGTCCCTCTCCTTCCTCTTCTACCCTCCACCCCTGCAGGAGCCCAGAGCACTCCACTGTAGCCCCCAGTCCCAGCCCTGGATGGTGCAGCCACAGCACCCTCAGGGCCGGGTCGCGCAGTCCAAGTGCCAGGCTGTGCAGTTCGAGTGCCAGATGGGTGGCACGGCCCTGGCCCCAGCCACTCTGAATCCCCGCAGCAGGCAGGCCAGCCTGCCCCAGCCCCAGCCCTAGCAAGCCTGGGCCATGGAAGAGCACCAGGGACTGCAGGAGGGAGCTTGGGGGTGAAGAGTGGGCAGAGCCACACCAGGCTGTTTGGGGAGGCATAGCCTCCCCTGGCCTAGGATACCCGCCACCCAGGTCGATGGGAGAGCTCTCTCCCGTTGGCACAGAGCAACTATGCAAGAGATCTTACAGCGGTACAGCTGCACGGTACAGCTGTGCCGCTGTAAGGTCTCTAGTGTAGACATAGCCTTAGACTTTGCAGGAAGACATAACACACAGATAAAGAATGAAAGATAAGCAAGAAAGTTTAACTAGCTCTCTTCTCCTATACTGCCACTGAGCATTTAGAGTGATAAGAATGTTCAGCCAGCTGAGCTATTCAATTGGTTGAACAACTAATATTGAGCAGAAAGTGCTTTCGCACAATGGAATGCTGCCCGTGGCAACCTCTGGTGCTGTGTCTCAGATGTTATCCTTCCGAATCCTCAACTTCTAAAACTAAAGGAAAATGTAACCTCTGATAATGCACCCAATGCTATTTGTTATGGATCATATGCAGAGCCAGATTCTTTGTGAAGTTAACTCTAAATAGTAACTAGTCAGAACATGACAACCAACACATTTGCTAAACAGGAGTATTTTCTCAAAGGTCCAATTCCTCAAATTCTTTCTGAATATTCTCTTCCCCTGCTTCAAACAAGTCAACCCTTTTAAAAAACTTTTCACCAAGCACAGAAGAGTAAATTCAAGTGGCTGCTAAAGCTTGTCTCAGTGTGAAAAGACATTAGTTATATGAAACACTGCTGTGTTTAAACAGCCTGGTTTTCTCCCGAGATGCATGGTAGCTTCGAAAAGAGGCTGCTAAAGGGGACATAGCTCAACATCCAGAAAAAGAAAGCTCTTATTGAGTTTTCTGGCCACATTTTAGGAATTTTTGTCTGCTTATATTTGCTCATTGATGGATAGGATGGATATGCTGCAGGATGACGTTGTTAATTAGTTCTGAACAGGAAATTACAGTGCATCAGTATTTATTAGTGCTATCAATAATACAACAAAGTGTGCAAGAATACCAGATGCCCATACACTTCAGCCAGATGAAAGCTGTTGGTTTTTGGTCTTAAAGTGTAACATATTTGTAGCATATACCAATGAATGTAAGAACGCTTCTTGGAGGACTGATTTTGTGTGGCATGTTTTGTAGCAGTTAAGTACCACAACATCTATAATCATACTGGATAATCAGTTCATGTAGAATCTTTGTCAGCATCATGGTCATTTTAAATCAAGTCTGAAAAGATTAAAAGAAATAAGTCTTTATGTGATGTCGCTAATAACTATTCTAGATGAATGGATATGAAAGTACATTCAAAGTGGGTTGGAAGTTGGTCTCTATAGGTAAAATTACATAATGGCTGCTCTATTATTAAGGAAGTATCACATTGTTTAAAAACCATGTAAAACCCATGGATTCAGTACAGAACTGGAATTCAAGAGATCTAAGATAATTTCTTCTACTGATTCACTGTGCACCCTTGGGCAAGCCATTTGAGCTTTGTGGCTCAGTTTCCCTATTTGTAGAAAAATTGGGATGACGTTTGCTTGATTGTAAAGCAATTTGAAATATACAGATAAAAAGCACCATGCAAGTGCTTAAATATTTACTAAAATTACACTATTTTAATAAATCATACTTCAAAATTTTTAAGAAGAAACTTAAATATATATACACAATGCTTACTGGTAAATGGAGTGGCTACTGTATATACAGTAGTCCATACATGGACTTGGAAATTAGGTCCTCTTATTAGTGTTAAGGGAACGCCAGCTTTGGACATCACATTTATCCACTACTTCTACTACTGGACAGCACCCTGGGAATCTTCAGCCTTCACTAAAAACACGCAAAGGAGCATCAGTTTAACATCTTCTGTGAAGACCAGATGAAATGGTATTCTAAACAGATGCGGTCTCTGCCTGAATGTTAGAAATCTCTTCATGTGGAAATTTAGAGACAATCTTCAGAAAGAGTTGTTTAGAAGCTGTTTGATTCGAGTCAGGTCACATCACATTACAGCCTGCCATCTTCCACAAGGTGGCATATAAGATTTGATACAGCTCAGTATTTGTTCAAGCACCTCTCTTGGTGATCAGACTACTTGTGAACTATTTCAAGAGATAAGGATTGTGACAGATAAAGCTGATGTAGTCGTTCCTTCAGGGCACCAGAAACTTGAATTTTGTCAGTTTTCATGGAGTCTTCCACCAATGCATTT